AAATTAATGGGGGGGGGGGACACTTTACACCAGGGTTGAAAAATCATTTTTTTTTTAAAGAAAACTAAATTATGAACAAGTAATATAAATACTAAAAATTTTGACTTACGTATATATGGGAATAGAATCGATTAAAAATATTCGTTGCGTTATCTATGACGGAATCACTATTAAAGTATTTATTTTTGGGCCGTACGTCGCCAAACCTTATACGTGGTGTTAGTTCTTGCATCGTTTTCTCAAGCGTGATTAAGGTCTCAGGCTTATTTCATACCAGCACAGACAAAAAATTGTCACCCATTCCGAAAATTCTAGATATAACCGTCATATACGTCCCATTGGTTCGCCCACTGTGCGTCACTGTCGTGCTCTCTTCTTTTCACTGTAAAAAGAAACATATAAAAAGAAAGAGAAAAAAAAAGTGAAATTGAACATTAGTTTTTTTGAACGACGGTCTTACCATCAACTATTTATTAGAGGTTCTTTTTTGTGCAAGATTCAACCAGTTCTGATTTCGACCACAGGTTCGTGCAGTTGAACCTCATACAGGGCTGAAGAAGCGAGATGGTAAGTCGGCCAATGGTTATATGGATAGACACACACCGTCTCTTGCTTTCAGTATTTATTGTGTTTAACTTATTTTTTTTTATATAATAGACGACTTATTTAAAATATGGAATGGAGTTTTTACACATTCTGCAAGACAAATGAAACCGAGATTGTCATTATTTTTAATTAAAAGGACTTGAACTAAATCAGCATCTCTTAAATGTTCATAATTCCTTTGTCTATAAAACTGTGTATTAAGTATTTTTTCCAGATTCATTATTTATATTTAATTATTTTAGAACGGTAACCCTAATCCTATTGACTGTAAACAAAAGACCCGTAAACCTAAGGAACGCAAACCTAAGGACTGTAAACCTAAGGTTCATAAGCCTAGGGACTGTAAACCCAAGGACTGTAAACCTAAGGTTCATAAGCCTAGGGACTGTAAACCCAAGGACTGTAAACCCAAGGACTGTAAACCCAAGGACTGTAAACCCAAGGACTGTAAACCCAAGGACTGTAAACCCAAGGACTGTAAACCCAAGGACAGTAAACCTAAGGTCTGTAAACCTAAGGACTGTAAACCCAAGGACTGTAAACCCAAGGACTGTAAACCCAAGGACTGTAAACCCAAGGACTGTAAACCCAAGGACTGTAAACCTAAGGACTGTAAACCCAAGGTCTGTAAACCTAAGGACTGTAAACCCAAGGACTGTAAACCTAAGGACTGTAAACCTAAGGACTATAAACATAAGGACTGTAAACCCAAGGACTGTAAACCTAAGGACTGTAAACCTAAGGACTGTAAACCTAAGGACTGTAAACATAAGGACTGTAAACCTAAGGACTGTAAACATAAGGACTGTAAACCCAAGGACTGTAAACCCAAGGACTGTAAACCTAAGGACTGTAAACCCAAGGACTGTAAACCCAAGGACTGTAAACCCAAGGACTGTAAACCCAAGGACTGTAAACCCAAGGACTGTAAACCCAAGGACTGCAAACCCAAGGACTGTAAACCCAAGGACTGTAAACCCAAGGACTGTAAACCCAAGGACTGTAAACCCAAGGACTGTAAACCCAAGGACTGTAAACCCAAGGACTGTAAACCCAAGGACTGTAAACCCAAGGACTGTAAACCCAAGGACTGTAAACCCAAGGACTGTAAACCCAAGGACTGTAAACCCAAGGACTGTAAACCCAAGGACTGTAAACCCAAGGACTGTAAACCCAAGGACTGTAAACCCAAGGACTGTAAACCCAAGGACTGTAAACCCAAGGACTGTAAACCCAAGGACTGTAAACCCAAGGACTGTAAACCCAAGGACTGTAAACCCAAGGACTGTAAACCCAAGGACTGTAAACCCAAGGACTGTAAACCCAAGGACTGTAAACCCAAGGACTGTAAACCCAAGGACTGTAAACCCAAGGACTGTAAACCCAAGGACTGTAAACCCAAGGACTGTAAACCCAAGGACTGTAAACCCAAGGACTGTAAACCCAAGGACTGTAAACCCAAGGACTGTAAACCCAAGGACTGTAAACCCAAGGACTGTAAACCCAAGGACTGTAAACCCAAGGACTGTAAACCCAAGGACTGTAAACCCAAGGACTGTAAACCCAAGGACTGTAAACCCAAGGACTGTAAACCCAAGGACTGTAAACCCAAGGACTGTAAACCCAAGGACTGTAAACCCAAGGACTGTAAACCCAAGGACTGTAAACCCAAGGACTGTAAACCCAAGGACTGTAAACCCAAGGACTGTAAACCCAAGGACTGTAAACCCAAGGACTGTAAACCCAAGGACTGTAAACCCAAGGACTGTAAACCTAAGGACTGTAAACCCAAGGACTGTAAACCTAAGGAGTGTAAACCCAAGGACTGTAAACCTAAGGACTGTAAACCTAAGGACTGTAAACCTAAGGACTGTAAACCTAAGGACTGTAAACCCAAGGACTGTAAACCCAAGGACAGTAAACCCAAGGACTGTAAACATAAGGACTGTAAACCCAAGGACTGTAAACCTAAGGACTGTAAACATAAGGACTGTAAACCCAAGGAGTGTAAACATAAGGACTGTAAACCTAAGGACATTAAACTTAAGGAATGTTAAACTTAGGACTGTAAACCTAAGGACATTAAACTTAAGGAATGTAAACCTAAGGACTGTAAAGCCAAGGACTGTAAACCCAAGGACTGTAAACCTAAGGACTGTAAACCCAAGGACTGTAAACCCAAGGACTGTAAACCCAAGGACTGTAAACCCAAGGACTGTAAACCAAAGGACTGTAAACCCAAGGACAGTAAACCCAAGGACTGTAAACATAAGGACTGTAAACCCAAGGACTGTAAACCCAAGGACTGTAAACCCAAGGACTGTAAACCCAAGGACTGTAAACATAAGGACTGTAAACCCAAGGAATGTAAACCAGTAAACCTAAGGACTGTAAACATAAGGAATGTAAACCCAAGGACTGTAAACCCAAGGACTGTAAACCCAAGGACTGTAAACCCAAGGACTGTAAACCCAAGGACTGTAAACCCAAGGACTGTAAACACAAGGACTGTAAACCCAAGGACTGTAAACCCAAGGACTGTAAACCCAAGGACTGTAAACCTAAGGACTGTAAACCCAAGGACTGTAAACCCAAGGACTGTAAACCTAGGGACTGTAAACCCAAGGACTGTAAACCCAAGGACTGTAAACCCAAGGACTGTAAACCCAAGGACTGTAAACATAAGGACTGTAAACCCAAGGACTGTAAACCCAAGGACTGTAAACCTAAGGACTGTAAACATAAGGACTGTAAACCCAAGGACTGTAAACCTAAGGACTGTAAACCCCAGGACTGTAAACCCAAGGAATGTAAACCAAAGGACTGTAAACCTAAGGACTGTAAACCCAAGGACTGTAAAACCAAGGACTGTAAACCTAAGGACTGTAAACCCAAGGACTGTAAACCTAAGGACTGTAAACCCAAGGACTGTAAACCCAAGGACTGTAAACCCAAGGAGTGTAAACCCAAGGACTGTAAACCCAAGGACAGTAAACCCAAGGACTCTAAACCCAAGGACTGTAAACCCAATGACTGTAAACAAAAGGACTGTAAACCCAAGAACTGTTAACCTAAGGACTGTAAACCCAAGGACTGTAAACCTAAGGACTGTAAAAATAAGGACTGTAAACCCAAGGACTGTAAACCCAAGGACTGTAAACCTAAGGACTGTAAACCCAAGGACTGTAAACCCAAGGAGTGTAAACCCAAGGACTGTAAACCCAAGGACAGTAAACCTAAGGACTCTAAACCCAAGGACTGTAAACCCAAGGACTGTAAACCAAAGGACTGTAAACCCAAGAACTGTAAACCCATGGACTGTAAACCCAAGGACTGTAAACCTAAGGACTGTAAACCCAAGGACTGTAAACCTAAGGACTGTAAACCCAAGGACTGTAAACCCAAGGACTGTAAACCCAAGGACTGTAAACCCAAGGACTGTAAACCCAAGGACTGTAAACCTAAGGACTGTAAACCTAAGGACTGTAAACCCAAGGACTGTAAACCCAAGGACTGTAAACCTAAGGACTGTAAACCTAAGGACTGTAAACCCAAGGACTGTAAACCCAAGGACTGTAAACCCAAGGACTGTAAACCCAAGGACTGTAAACCCAAGGACTGTAAACCTAAATACCGTTACAAATGGTATGGGGATTCTCCTCCCTGGTCAAAATGTCCAGATTCATATTAATTTGAAAAAAATCCACCATGTTTATTCATGTCTTGGACCTCCCAAATGTTTTACTCCGGTTTTGTTTACAGACACTTTTATCCGGGAGATTTTTTTGGGGTGGGGGGCGCAGGGGGGACAGGACTTCTATCAGTACCGAAATTAGGCATCATGTCGACCAGCGTAAGCTCAGGTCAGCATACATAAAACGAATTAATTCCGGTTTTAATGCCCCTCTAATTTTATTAATAAACGAAGGACAGCTTTCATGCTATGTGAAGGAAACAGTGGAACAAGGTATGGTGAGGCTTGAAATCCTTAGTTCCACTATTTCAGTGGTTCTTAACCTTTTTGGAGGTACTGAACCCCACCAGTTTCATATGCTCATTCAGCGAACCCTTTTTAATAGGAAAAAAAATATGATTTCTTTTCTTTTTTTTTTTTTTGGCTCTCCATCGAACCCCTGAGACTGACCCACCGAACCCATGGGGTTCGATTGAACCCAGGTTAAGAACCACTGCGCTATTTCCTTGCAGTGCTCTTTCAGCCCAATATTATTATAGAAAAGTATATAAATACTAAATTAAATGAAACTAGTATATATGCAAATTCAAGTAAATTGTTTCTAATAAATATCACTGTTTTTTTTTTTATATTTTTTTTTTTAAAGCCGCTGTGGTCATTTCGAACCAATCCCCTCCAAGATTTGGAGGGCCCACGATCAATGTATTGATTATTCTGGCTCATTTAGATATAGATTATTCATTCTACTTTGAATTTGTTTTATGCTTATAAAATATTTTTTTTTTGCTTAAACTGTTTCATATAGAAATTTTTTTAAATAAATATTAAATTGTATCACACTTCAAAGAATGTATCAACAAAAAAAAAACAACAACAATTGGTCACCTTAATTTATTGCAATTTAAAAAACACAATACTAATTCTACATTCTTTCAATTGACTTGTAGCTAGCAGCTACGACGCCTATTATGATTTTAAGACCTCATCATTCAAAGATCACCCCAACGTGGTCAGAGTTGAGAACTTCGAGGGGTCTGCTTGCAGCACAAGAGGTGAGACATTTTGGGGGGATAAATGGCAGCACTAGAGGTGAGTTATTGTGTTGGGATAAATGGCAGCACTAAAGGTGAGATATTTTGGTGGGATGACTTGCCTGGAGCGGCATTTGTTGTCAAATTTTTACATCATTTCGGTATCTTTTGTGGTTTCAATGAGACGTAGGAGGTGTCAAAGTTTAGTACCAGCCCCGTCCCCGGCGTTACAAAACTCTAGCCACTCCACTCTTAGGTGGGATGCCACTACTGTATAAAGAGAAGCGACTATTAGGCAAACCTTAACACTGTTACTATAAAGAAAACCTTGTGCTGTCAACGTTAGGCAACTTTTGACGCTGACACTATTAGAAATAATCCCAATTGATTTCCTCAGGAACAGTCATAAATAAAACAATGCCGTTTCTTTTCCAACTGTTAACTTGCATTAATCTCCAAAGCTTTAAAAAAAAATAAAAAAAATTACCCCACTTTCTCTGAAATGCCCCCCCCCCCAAAGCACATTTATCATTTAATAAACGTAGTGCCACAAATGGGGAAGTTTTTGATTGATTGATTGATTGATTGATTTGATATTTATATCGGTGTTCTTAAATCCATTTAAACAAAAAAGTTTTGAAATGTTTCTTAAGTGATTTTTTATCATTTTCAATTCTCTTTAAAGATTGAGGCAAACTGTTCCATAATTTTGGCGCTGTCCCTTCAAAAGAGCGCACTCCGTAAGACTTTTTTCTGTGTTCATTCACACTAGGAACTCTCAGTTATAAGGACTGTGTTGAAAACCGCAGGCTCTTCAATGATACATGCTTATAAATCATTTCTTTGAGATATTCCGGTGCTGAGCCATCTATGCAGCTGTGCGCCAGGGACAGAATTTTGTAGTTAATGCGCTCACTCACAGGAACCCAATGATAATCTCGTAGAACTGGGGTGATGAGAACTGGGGTGATGTGGTCAGATTTCTTCATCCGCAAAACAATGCGCGCTGCAGTATTTTGTATCTTTTGGAGTCTCTGAACTTGGTTCTGAGGTAAACCCCACAAACAACTATTACAGTAATCTAATCTTGACTGGATTAGAAGTACGCTATAGCATTGGCCGTTCTCCCATTGCATTGAGGACGCAACTGACACAGGGCATACAGATGACGGAAGCATGCCTTGAACAAAGTTCCGAACAAAACACATTATAAATAGCATGAAGCAGCCAATGGAGCGCCGTTGTTAAGCTCCACACCAGTCATTTGTGACACAATTTTAGGAAGATTGTTGTATTCTCTCCATCATGGGAACAGGAAAAACATACATCACATAACACTGTTATGTTACTAACAGTCAAAATATCTATTCCACAGGTGTTCTCAAGATAACCTTACCTAAAGACGATGCCAGCAAGCGAAGAATTAAGTTGGACATGGACTTTGAGAACCCCACAGGCTGGACGTTCAACCTCGGTGATTCAAGCACCAACAACGGTTGGGGTAAGGCTTGGTTTGTCATATGTTAGCATCAAATCGTTGTAGAGACGTAGAAAAGATATTAGTTATACAGTACAAAAAGGTATACAGTACGAATATGTATGCAGTACAAAACGGTATATAGAGTACAAATAAGTATACAGCACAAACAAGTATACAGAACAAATAAGTATAAAGTACATAAAAGTATACAGTACAAAGAGGTGCACAGCACAATAGGTATACAATACAAATAGGTATACCGTAAATATGGGTATAACGGATAATTATGTACACAGTACTAATAGGTATACACGACCGGAAGAAGAAAGGTACTAAAAATGCAATGACGTAATTGGTATAGTCCTGAGTACACAAACCCAACACTAAACAATAAATCTTCAATTAGAGTTTCCCTGCGCCCGGGTTTCCCCGCACATGTCTTCTTTTAGGCCCCTGTCCGGGAGTCTTGGGGGCTTTCCAGTAATATGCTTTTGGTCCGGTTTTTCCCATGTCCGTCCCTGATCTATACCTTCTTACTTACTTTTCCGTGTTATATACTATTCTATGCTAATCAAAGATGTCTGCGTCGCATTTTACGCATTCGATGGCAGGACAAGATGCCTAACACAGAGGTCTCGGAGCGTGCAAAAATGTTTAGCATATTCTCCGCTCTTAGTAAGAGGCGCCTTGGCTTGTTAGGCCATGAAAGGAGAATAGGGGAATGCTGAATCCCAAAGATGATGCTGTATGGAGAGTTGGCAGAAGGGAGAAGACTTGTTGGACGGCCGCGCCTAAGATTTGAGGATGTTTTCAAAAATAGCATGTGGGAAGCCAGCACTGCTATCAACAAATGGGAGATCATTGCCTAACAACGTTCCTGCAGGGGAACAGCAGTGTATGAAGGAGTAAAAAATGTAGAAGATGCGCGAAATGAAGCCAATGCAATGAAAAGAACAATACGGACAACCAAACATAACCAGGAATCAATATTCTCCTGCGAGAAATACAGTCGAGATCGGCATAGTGCACCCCTGATCGAAGTGTAGGACTACATAGCTACTCCATCGTCTCGTGAAGACGGAAGAATGACATACATACATATATATATTTATATATATATATATATATATATATATATATAAACCTCATTTAGCGCAGTTATTTGTATTTTTATTTCGTGAAGTCGGTGGCATCATATTTCCCTAATCGTTCCCTTGAAAAACTGGAAAAACTAATTCTTGGGGATTGAGGTTTAAGGGGTGGGGCTAAAAATTTGAAAAGGCGTGTTGTCCATAGCAACGAGTTTTTTTTTTGGCCGAATTTCGATAGATTGACGGGAAGTGGGCCAATTAGCCGTCTGAAAAAATTAGCCAGACAGACACGAACAAAAGTGAATGTAGAGGATTTAAAAACTATGCTGGATTTCTTTAGCGAACCGTGTCTTTGTTCCTTTGTCGATTAACAATTTTTGCAACAATTTATTATTATTATCTCTGCTTATGGTTATTAATTACTATCATCATTAGCTTTAAAGCTCATCATTACCCCTTACGTGTTCCATTTTCTTATAAAATGTCTTCTTCATTCAAGCTGGCGACGGAGCGTCACAGAGCAGAGACGCGGAGGTTCAAGGCAACGACAAGTCAATCTCAGGTTACTACAGTGACAATGGTGGCAGTGGTCAGGCTTTTAACATCCCAAATCTGTATAGGTGAGTGAACGACTCACGGGGTAAGGCGATTGCGATTGACAAACATGTGTTTGATCTAAAAGACATTTAGGGGAGACAGTGTAGAGTGCAGATAGTGAAATAAAAATAAGTAAAGTTAGCAGTGTAAACTCTGCGAAGAAGAGTTTTTTTGTTTTTGTTTTTACGTTGACGTGATAATAAATTGGCCCTGAGGCTACGAGTTAGTAGAAATATTTGTCAGAACTTTGTTTGAAGGCAGATGCAAACATATTTGAACTAAAGAGCCTATACCAAGCGATGAAAAACTTCGTGATGTCAAACCAAGAAGGCAAGGCCAAGACTGGGAGGCAATACAACTATAAAATTGCCCAAACTTACATGAAGGCTATTTTTTAAAATAAATTATTTATTATTTGTGCTACTGTTTCTTTGTTATTCAAACTGACTACCAATAATAAACATCATATTGTTCTACATTATGTGCCCAGTAATCACCTGACCTTAATAGCCGGGGATGAGATCCTGGTTTGGACTGCTGACCACGACCCAACCAAGACGAACTCCTTCTCAAGCCCCGGCTGGTACGCCTTAAACGGACAGCCCGACCACGAGGGACCTGTCAACTATGACCTTTACCTTGGCATCAACAGGGTCATATCTGGAGGAAACTACAATGGGCGCGTGGGTTCCGGTCTCTGCCGAGTCGGCATCAAGTTTCTGCCGGCTGTTTAGTTGATGGCTCATTGTTCAACTGATTGCTGATTATTTAGTTGATGGCTGACTGTTTAACTGATCGAAATTCTCAAATAACACTTGTAAGCTAAACTGAAACACTGAAACGTTGCATTAAACGATTTAAATCTCTTACAAAAATCTCCCATTAAATCATTTATATAGTGTTGTCGTCCTGTCCAAATATTAATTTTATATATGTATTTTTATTTTTTATTTTTTTTGTGCGTAAAGCAAATGAGTTTCAGCTTTATTTCAAACCTAATTTTTCATTAAATTATTTACTTCAATTTAAGGGGGTTTTTTTTTGTTTTTTTTTTAAAGTACCTATGGTTTAACTTCACCCAAAAGCATCGCATTAGAAAACCCATTTTGTGCGATTTAGAGATGTCTACTATCACTGATTTAAAAGTACGGGTGTAAGTGACAAAACAAGAATTTAGCAAGGCCAAACATTGAATGTGTTTTTAAATGTTGAAACCAAATCGCTTTAAAAACAAATTGTTTGTGTAATGGTTTATTTTGTGACGGATCGTGGATTAAATGTTATGCATCACGTGAGTTTGATTGAGTCATCATTACAAGCCGTGACACGCAGACAATCTGTTGTGCAGCCTAGTCTTAACTTTAATATGATTATAAACTCTGACATAAGGTGCGCATCATCCGCTGTGTAGCCTAGTCTTATATTTACTCTCATTTTGAACAATGACTAACACCTAAAAAGGGCACATGGTGTAGCAAAGCCTTAAATTTACTGTGAAAAAGTGTAATTATAACAAAATGTATAACACAAGACGATACTTTTTATTTACTATAATTATATATATATATATATATCATTTAGGAGATTTTCCAGTTTTTGAGAGCAGCGGTCACCGCGCCTTTAGAAAACTGAGGAAAGATGCTCGCGTTAGGCTGCCGGACAACCTCAAGATCCCAAAGTGGGTCATCTTCAGAAACTTCAGCAGATTTAAACGTGCCTTCATTCTCGACTACGATACTCTCACCTCCTTGACCACACGCCTCATCGGATGGCGCGTGTGGAGGAATGGTCAGCCGAAGATCTGTCTTCGCCAAACTGCCGTTCTCGTCTGCAACGAGCACATTCGATTTGAAAATGCCGATGATGTTCCCATTAGAGCAATGTATCGCTCTAGGACTTGTTTGCAAGCGAAGTTTTATGTCTGTAAATATCGCAGTAAAGCAATCATAAAAAAACTTCCAGTCTTGTTGAGCTTTGCAGCAGGTCATAAACGTAGCAAGACTTCCATGTGTAAATGCAGTGTTTGCTTGATCTCTGTTTTCACTGATATTGCATGTAGACGATGCAACAGACTTTTTGTAGTGTCAACACGACTCTGATACTTGTTAAAGTTCTTTTTGTCTTGTTTGCTGGTGAAGACACTCAGCCGAAACGTCCAACTCTTTTTGTCCTGTCTATGAATTCAAGTTTAGCATACCTTATTCCTATATTTCATTTACACAACTTGAAAGCAGTCCATCAATTATTATCTTTTATTCTCTATCATTAGATTTTTGTACGAATTTAAAGGTCTGAAGAGAATCTGTATGTTTCTGAGACTATTCTGAGGAGTCCAAAGAAATGGTGCGCATCACTGGATATTCACAACCGACCTCCACGAGGTATTGATCATCGGGTAAAACAGCACCGTAGATCAACACGACTAAGTGGTTGTCTGGTGTGAGATCGTTACAGAACACCGTTGGGTGGGCCATCCTGGCATCGTAGCCGAGTGCTGACAGCAAAGCAAACATAAATGTGTTCTTAGAGTAGCACAACCCTCCCTGACCCGCGAACATGTCCTTTTTAATATATTCTCCAAGGATCTCCTGTAGCGTTTGTCCACATCAACAGACATCAGCGTCAGTCGTTGATAGGGTCCCTTGCCGTAGACAGCTCAAATGATTTTATTGAGTAACTCAATCCTTTCATTTGAATTCTCAGTGTCACTGTAATGGTTATCTATCATTAAACATTGTAAACGAAACCGTTTTCTTCAAGCGAAAAAATATAGCATTGCTTTGTAATCTGAATTTTTCATGTGCTAGGTGGTAGAAGTATATTAATTGGAGGTCGCAAATCGCGTTTTAGAGGGAGTCGTGAGAGGTCGTTTACATAGTACCGGTACAAAGCATGTTAGCATCAGTGAATTTTTTTTCCTGTCGTATATTCGAAAGAGTCACTTAAGAGCGAGGGTCGCAAAACGAAGGTTTCACTGTACTAAAGATCCCCAATAGTTCGTCCAGATACAGGATCACCACTTATGAAACCGCCTTCTGATGTTCACTCGTCTCACTCCCCCCCCCCTTAAACTTAAAGAGTCATGTTTTTATTTCTTTATTGTTTCGAGTCTTGACCTACTTAAAAAAAAACAATACACAAATGAAAATAAATCCTTTCAAATATTAATCGCAATTTAAACAATTAGAAGGGTTCAAGGGTAAAACCAGTGATGTCAGGTTTTGAGAGTTTTGAGAAAATTGATGATAAAGTTTGAAATTTACTCATAAAAGTATAAAATGTCAAGCTCTATTGACTACGCTGTTTTTTCAGTTGGGACTGTGTGTCATATTATTCTATTGAATGGCATGTAGCAACACGGGAGATAACTTGCAAATTTCTAAAAATTGACATCTCTGGTTTTTCCCTTGAACCCTTCGTCTGTCAACCAATTTATTTTATTTTTAAATATTTTTTTTAAAGGCCCGACGCCAGAGGGTGGCATAATCCCTTCAAATTTACGTTTATGACCAGACAAGGAAGAAATATCATGTGACACCAAGGTTTAGTATGTTATGCTCCTCTCGTCAAATGGCAAAGATCGATTAGAAATTGACGAGACAAGTTGAAAACTTTCTTAAGCAAATCATTGATCAACTGACTTAAATGGCTTATCGCAGTCCAACGCCAACGCCGCTCTTTAATCAGATTGTTAAGGGGCCTAAAGTTTTGAGGTTGTGGAAAAAATAAAATAAAATTTGGATGCTGGTGGAAAAAAACTAAAAAGTGGCAGGGTGTCTCTAAAAGTTAGGCCACTGAATCAGACTTAAAATTACATATTTTCAATGTCTTGTCTTTTACAATTACTCTATTAAAAAGCCTTCTTAACATAGCCTCTAACGGGGTTTAGGGTAACTTTGCTCATAAAAATTGAGAACCATTGGCTTGTATAGTGAGTTATTATTTTAAACAAAGTGTGTTTTGTTTTTTTGCAAATTGCCAAATTTAAAGGCTAAATGGCATTATTTATCTGAGCTCTAAGTTGTAAATTTTAAGGTTTATAATAATCGTTAAAATACAATGCAATAAGGCATTAGGATTAACGTCTGATACTAATGTCTACTGATATAATATTTCAGACTGCTCCATATATGGTTATTTTTGAAAAAAAATAAATACACGGACAAGATTAAACGCTAGTAAGTTGCTCTTAGTTTCCAGGCCCAGGGTTAGACTTCTCAGTCAGTCATCTTAACTTAATCAGTAATTTATTATTCTTAATCCTTAGTTTAGTACTGTTAATAAAATATATGTAATTTCACCCCTTAGGTTTATTTCAACAAAGAATTTGAGTTTTGACTTTTTGCTGTACTTTCACATCATTTTTTTGTTTTTTGTTTTTACACAACTCTCTTTATGATAAAGTAAAGTATAAAGTTATATTTAAAAAGAGAGCTGGGTTTGTTGCTTCGACTTGGACATGCATTTCTTCTGATCCTACAGCATTTCAGCTCTCCCCCTCAACAAACCTCAGAACTTATGGCAGGCTTAAGCTTTCAATGATTGCAAATGATCAACATGACTATGCAGATGCATTAGTAAGGAGTTATGCATACGAATATGGCTGAAGGTAAATGTTCATTCCATAGGCAATGTAAAACCAATGAACAGCGAACCCAACATTGAACAGTTAGCAGGACAATTTCTTCCCCAGTACTTACTCTAGTCAAAAGCAATATCTAAAGCTGTATTCCTTCACTAATTATCAACCACAGCGTCTCAACATTCACACAACTTTGTTGCTTTCATTTGACTTGCTCAAGTGTCAAATAATCTTTACAAAAAATAGTTAGAGCCTAAGTTTTACAAAAGTCATCAAAGTCAAAGTCACACCCCCCCTCCCCTCAAAAAAAAAAAAAATTAAAAATCACAGCTTGGGTGGATGTAAGTCATAATTGACTTATGACAGTCAAAGAAATTCACTTTTCTTTAGTTAACCCTTGACCTATGTAAAAATATTTTAAAAAATACTGAGACATAGTTATGCATGGAGCAAGGAAAGTGCTTACCTACTAGCATTCACATTCCACACCATGATATACACTGACTTACACGAAATGCTTTGAGAGCAAACCAAAAAAAAGAAAACAAAAAACAACAGATGGTTGGGGGAGCCACCTGTTTGCTCTGTGTGGGCAAACCCAAAATTTTATTTCAATAAATTCTCTGAAACAAGATTAAGAAAAAACAAAAACCAAAAATGATTAGAAACATTGAATGAATTCCTTTCAATAAATTAGAATGAGAAAAACTACAAATTGTGTAGTACCATGAACAAGAGATTTCAGTGAACAAAAAGAAGTGACAAGATCGAGTGGACAGCACAGATAAATGCATGGATTTGAGTGATGGCATTATTTAAATAATTTAAGTGTACAGTTTATATCAAAAATGTAATTATATAAATAAGATGATTTACACAAAAAATAGCATGTAACCAAATTTGAGGAATAATATGACAAAACCACAGACAAATTGTGTCAGTCGTAGGCACTCTGCAAATAATCATGAAACCAAACAAAAAGCAGGCACGTTTGAACAGAAAATTATTGGATTCACACTTTCAGCTTTGATAGATACAACATATATTTACTAAATGTCTGGGGAAAAACTATGGAACACCTTAATAGTCCCATGCCCCTAAAAAAAACCACACAATACAACACAATACCAAGGATTAGCATTAAATTATACATTTATCTAATCTAAATAAACAAAGGACTTGAGCTGCATCAATCAGAGGTGATGAGCAGTTCCAGTACAAACTAGCACATGTTTGAACAGACCTGTACAAAGTGTGTTAAAGTACAAAACTAGCCACAAGTTAAAAGAGAACTGTACTTAGTAGGACGCCACGAAGTCAAGGGAATAACAACATAAGAATGATCTGCCAAAGTCCAAATATTCAGAGATAGTTAAGTCAAAATAGTATAGCTTGTATTTGAAAAAAGGAAACATTCATTTTGAAATAAACGTCTTTTTTTTGTATGGAAATATCTGACTGACCTCCCTTTATTTTGCAGTTTTAAAACCAGTTGATTGTCTCTCATATCCCAGTATAAATATAACTAATTTTTATTAATACTACACACAACCATACTGACTGAATAGCATGTGTGCCATGGGGACATAAATGTACACATGTGATGGAATTGACTTAAGGGTTTATGAGTACCTGTAGAAGCAGTCCCCCATTCAGACACTGCCTTTTAAAAGAATGCATATGTGATGAATACTCCGGCAGCAGAGGTACAAATGTAAACATTTAAATGTTATAGATAACATTTAAAATGTTCTCCATAAATGTCTGACATTGCAACAGAAAATAACATGTGTGAAATCTATTGTCAGATTAAAATGTTAAGCTTATCATCCAGAGTCCTCAGACTAGAGGTTCTAAAATAAGTAGTACTTAAGTGTTTTATGCTTTTAAACTTTTTCATACAATAAAAATATGCACTTTTAATTAGCGAAATCTTTCCCAAATATTTTCTACCATTTTTGAAGGTTATTTATATGCTAGACAGTAACTCACTTCCTGTACATATTCTAAAGTGAAATCTGTAAAACATTTTGAATATAAAGTGCAAAGTTTTGGACTCCAGGTGTGCAAGTAGAAACCACTTGATTGGTCTTTAGTAGGAAGAGATGAACCATAAGGGGGAGGGGGGAAGAGGAGGTGGTGCAGCTAGAATAGAAATGAATTTTATTTTATAATAAGCCATAACATAATACCTGGCTACTCTATATTGACGCCCCCCCCCCCGGAAAGCTCGCTCAGAGCTGTTATTCTATGGGGAATCAGTCAGAGATGTACAATGTTTCAAATGATCATTTTAAAAAATGTCTGAGAAAAGGTGTTTTTTTTTTTTTTTTATATTTTATAAAAAAAATAAGCCCATCTTCCATTAAATTTAAAAATTTTTCCCATGTTATTCTATGGGGAATCAGTCAGAGATGTACAATGTTTCAAATGATCATTTTAAAAAATGTCTGAGAAAAGGTGTTTTTTTTTTTTTTACAGTTTATAAAAAATATCAGCCCATCATCCATGAAATTGAAAAATTTTTCCCCTAATGATGACATGATCAAACTCGGTGATGAATCGTTTCAGTACCAGGTACTCATTTGACAGGACTAAACAATTTGCCAAACATGAATTAGTTTATGCAATACATCATTATGTCAATTGACATTCATTGTATCAAATAATATTTTCACAACTTGAAAAAAAATACACTACCATCATCAGTTTCAAGATGCTCTTAATTTTCCTTTTTCAATATTCTTGCTTCCATTTCATTGTGTATAGATTTAAGAGCGCCATCTGTGAAAGACATGACGACATGAATTAACTTTAAAAAAATAGGTCAGCTCACTAGACCTGTTCCATTGATCCTAAATCTGGTACATACCTAGACAGCAAAAATAAAACTTAATCATCAATTAAATTTTTGAATTTACTGATCTTACGGAGGTTTAAATTAAATATCTTTCTTGGCAAATAGAGGATTTATGATGGGTTAGTCCCTTCTCATACCGTGCTAATACCGTACAATCTATACACCTCAAAATCGTCCATTGTACGCCAAAATCGTAAGAGTAAACAGGTCTGGTATAAATACCTTATAAGCATTTGTTATTATTTTATTTTATATTAATATACTAATCTCCAACCCAATTTTACACCGCCAATTTATTACACCAACTGTTAAAAACAAAAGAAAATATTACGCACCAAACGCACGTGCGATATTTTTTAAATAATTTATTTAGCGCAGTTATCTTGAATTTTTGTTCATGAAATTGATGTGTAATATTTCCTTCATCGTCCCCGTGAAAAAAATAACATTATTGGTGGGGGTTGGTGGGGGTGGATTTGGGTTACCGGAAATTTGATTTGATAGTGTGTCTTGTCATCGGCAACAAGTTTACGTCTTACGTGCCAAGTTTCAGCTTGGGAAGTAGGTCTTCAGTCATCTGAAGATTTTGCCATAAACCTAGCCAAAAAGAAATACACAAATAAAAGTGAAGTTAATATATAGGTTTTAAATAAACTAATTCATAATCTATATTTTTTTTATTTTGGAAGAATTAAGTCCGGGTACGTTTCACAAAATAAATTATATATTTTTTAATAAAATAATAGGGAAAGGCAAATAATTAAACGAGTCTTCTCGTCTAACTACTTTGCACTGTGTAAACAAAGAAAGAAAAATGTAAAATTTGCATTTTTTTAAAGCTCTACGAAGGAATTATTATTTATCGGACAGATATGTCACGTGTATAAAGAAAAATCGTTAGCTACTTGGTAATAATAATTCTTGAATCAGTACGCGCTATAATAATAATACTTAGTTTTTATTAATTATTATTATTATTGAAGATAATAAAATTGAAATGCTTTCTAAAAAATTAGTGCTAAAAATTATCGAATCTCATGTTCAAGCTCAGCCTCAGATCCTATCAGCCACTCAACAACAGTGCCATCCACAGTCCATACGGCAGACATCTGATCAAGGAAGTTACTTAAAATTAACGCAGACAGTGGTGGAAGCATTTTATAGTCCATGTCTTTATTAATCATTTATGTCTTGTTAAAAATCACCAACGCTACATCTTTTTAATAATTTTAAAATAATGAACAGGTGCTGCACAATGGCTGACAATGGTGTTTTTTGAAGACATAAGAGCAACATATCAGGATCCAAAACTCATGTCGCAAGGGAAGAAACTCCACGCTTTAGTATTCTAGGTAATAAGTAAACTTACTATTTTTATTTTTACTTCAGAATTACAAAAACGTGATAAGAAATACAAGAAAGACCCAAAAGAGTCCGTCAAATATGTTTTCTTAAGGCTAAGTAACGATTTATCTCTATTTTTTTTTGTGCAATATGAATTATAATTGAAATCTTTGTATCATTTATTCAATGTGGACAGAAAAAAATTATCAGGGTATGATTTAGCTTGAATAATGACCAAATGAAAATTTTTATGGAAAAGACGCCATCATCAGCAGACACTCGTAGTATTGCCTTATTGAACGTAAAAAAAACAAACAAACAAAAAAAAAAACTTAGTTCTGTTTACAAAAATGTTATCTCTTTGAGCTTAATTAACAAAAACTTTTCTTTGGCTGCACTTAAAAAAAAGGCACATATAAAATGTATTAAAAAATAAATATATTGGTAAAAATAAATCACAAAGTAACCTTGACACTATAATTTTACAAATCATAAAATTTTAAACACATACGGTTTCCATAATTTCAGTTCACTATTTGAAACGTGAATACCACAAATGTATTGCTTTTCCATTAAATTTTATGTATAAAAGAATTACAATACAATGAAATAAAACTATATTTTCAATTTTTCGTCAATTTTAATGGGGCATTAAATAGATTGTTGTAGGTATAAAACCCAGGATATGCGCAAACGTGTAATTTATAATTCAAGACAACAGTAATTGTATGGTCTAGGTGACATAGCTCAGTGAAAAAAAAGTATAATGTTGGGTTACCGGAAATTTTTTTGAAAGAAATTTGGTAGATGGAAAATTGATCGACGGAAAATTGATCGACGGAATGATCTTGTGTGATTTACAATTACAAATGTTATTTTTATTTTCATCATACATATAAAACATGAAAAAGACAGTGAAGTTGAACTCGCTGTTGTGATGAATGCATACTGGCAGAAGTCAGAAGATGTCACTTTGATAAATTTAAAAGTTTAATAGTGAACTGAGTTTTAGATTAAATTTTAATTCGTTTTTAATTTTTTTAAACAATTTTAGTTCAACAGTGTGATATGTCAGAGGTAGTGGAGGGGTAAAAATTGTCAAAAAATTGCATTAGCCTGCGTACTTTATTGATGCCCCCTTAGGCCTACATATGCTTGTTCCATGTTTGAAATATTTTTTGCAGCATTTTTTTTGCCTGCTTCATTTCAGTTTGGCCTCGATTTTTTGCAGCATTTTTTTTTTTTTTGCGTGCTTCATTTCAGTTTAGCCTCGTGTATTTTTCGCAAACTTTCTATGAGCTAAGTTTATTTTGGATTTTTTTACATCTGCAGGGCCTTCTTAGAAGAAGTAGGCTTTTAACTTTTAATTTTTTCTTTTTTGTAATATTTTTTGCAGCTTTTTTTTTGCTTGCTTTATTTCAGTTTGGCCTTGATTTTTTGCAGCATTTTTTTTTTTTTTGCGTGCTTCATTTCAGTTTAGCCTCGTGTATTTTACGCAAACTTTCTATGAGCTAAGTTTATTTTGGATTTTCATACATCTGCAGGGCCTTCTTAGAAGAAGTAGGCTTTTAACTTTTAATCAGGTACGTCATTTCATTTAAGAGAGTGGGGGCAAAAAAACAAATCTTAGCCGGCTTGTTGAGCAGTTGTTTATTACTGGAGGCGCCACAGTACCTAACTAAAGGGCTGAAAATGCCCCCCTCCCCCAACCAATGTCCTCCCACCAAATGACGATAGTGCTTTTGATCGATACGGTCATTTCACACACTTTCTCATTCTGTGTGATCTATGGTCTCCTGGCGTTATTTAGCTAGCTCCTCCACAACAATGGCGCTGTCCAGTGGTTGTTCATGTAGACTTGCTCCTTCGATTTTGAATGCTGACTTATCAAATTTAGCTGTAGAGTGTCAAAATTTGGTTGATGCTGGATCAGATTATCTCCACCTCGACGTAATGGATGGGCATTTTGTCCCGAATCTGACTTTCGGACATCCCGTCGTTAAATGTCTACGCCCAAAGTTGCCAGGTGTTTTCTTCGAAATGCATATGATGGTCTCGGACCCTGAAAAAGTAAAAAAAATATAGGCCTGGTCAATTCATACAATTTGTGCAATAGCGTCATTTTGTGGTTTTGTTAAAGTTTCTGTTTTAGATTCACTCTCCTTGTTACTAGATCTAAATTTTTCTTACTTATATGATGATTATGATGGTTGACCTTTAACTTTAATGCTTAAGGTATAATATTCATACAATTTAGGGCTATGATAGTAGGGTAGGCTTATATTATAGTTATAGGCTAAGTAACGATTTATCATTTTAGTTAATAATTTAGGCTAACTAAAATTTAAAATACTAGATAATAATAATAAATGGTCTACAAACTTGGGTAAATGTTGGGTCGGCACGCCACTAATTTCCTATGACAGCCACCTTTCTTGCCAAGATGGCAGTCATGTAAACGCAAAAAGTAGCGCAAACACACATCTGCTAAATTGGGGAGGGGAAATATAGAATTTGCTGTTTTAGCTACTTACCGATAGAAACAAAAATAGAAACAAAACTTTAAATTTAATTAAATAATATCAACCGGTAGATTAATATTGTGGCGAACGTAGCAAATTTATTGTAGGCTATCCCTCTAGATATGGGGCAAGAAGTGTCAACAACCTGCCATTCCTCCCTTCACTTAACTAAAACATGTTTGCTACACTAGTTACACACTGTGTTGAGAAAAGTGTTGTAAAATAATGAAAACCTAACTTACAGTTTAGAAAACACTTTTACAAACTTAAAAAGTTCCACCTAAAATTAGAAATTTATTCTCATTTTTTTAAATTTTCTTTAGATTTTCTAATCAACCATCCAATGAAATATTAATTTACAACATTCCATAAGGATATTAATAGTTTAAAAGTTAATTCTAGTAACAATCCAAGAATAAACAAAAGCAAGAGAATCCTACACAGAAACACAAAGTGGTGTGATGAACCAACATTAGCCGTAACTTGTTTTGACAAGGGCCAGTAAGAAAATAGCTACAGGCCGGATGGATTGTCTCGTTCTGCTAAAATGAAGGTCTAATGGGCACTAATGACTAATTGGCCTATATAAATTAAATGAAATTAATTAATTATAAAAAATATTTAACAAAATTATATTCCATGAAAGAAAATTTAAAAGACATGCTCTTTACATTAATTTAATTGAGATTACATTTAAATAAATTAGAACGAGGAGGCTTATATTAATATATATTATTCGTATTAGATGGAAACCTTTGAATTGCACCTTCATCCTTTTGCACATCAGTTAGAAGCATGACCCAGATGCTTTTCTTACACTAATTCTTCTGTCAGTTCAAAAAACACTATTGATATTGCAGGCTGGATAAATTGAATTCGTTAGCCGACCTCTGTACAAGATATGTGATTGTTACAGCGTAAATGAGTTAATGATTTGATATGTAGCAATATTGAATTTCAAGTGGATTACAAACACAATGTTTAGGAAAGTTGATTGCTGTGAATGAGTCAATGACTAAGAAGCTAAACAAAAATAACATTCTATTGATAAATTTAGCTGAAAAGGCAGTTCAAGCTGAGAGAGGTCTAGCAAGCTGGCAATGAATGTAAAATTGCTCAAGTAAATAAAAATTGAGAAGACAATGGATGCTGCTAAATGGTGGAAGATGGCCTGGACACGGTAAAAAAAACTTTAACTCCCTTTGTCGCCTCCCCGGTAGAAGCATTCGGAAGATTATGATTGATTCATTCTTTCTATGAATCAATGTTTACCATAACCAATTTTTTTTTAATTAGTTAAAATTTTATCAAAGAATCATTTATTTATTTATTAAGTTAGTTGCCTTGAAATCAATGATCAAACATATTTTGTTTATTTGTATTCCCTTGCCAGTGGATTGAGGGAATGGCTGATGCTGGGGCAAACATGTACACATTTCATTATGAGGCTACAAAAGATCCAGCTGCATGCATTCGTAAAATTAGAGAGGCTGGTATGAAAGTAAGCCATTCTTTTTTTATTTGTTTAAATTAAGTAAATTATCTTTGCCCTACCAATATGGTTAGGAATGTGTTAATTTTTTTTTGTAGTCATATCTAAGTTATGAATATTAATTTATATCCTTCATGCAAATAAAAATAAAATAATTCTGATCACCTGTAATCCTTATTTTTATTGCAACCCCCCCCCCCCCCCCCCCCCCCATTTGTTCAATCTTTTATTTATATTATTTGGTGGATGATAGACTTTGCCTATTAAGACATTTAGTAATCTTCCCACAAAGCTTTTTCTGAAATTTTAAAATTTGTTATGCATTATCAGACTGACAGCTTATAGCAGTAATAGTATGTAGTTTTAGTTTGAAGTTTCTAGGATGACTGAAAAAATGCCTCATTATATACCAACACACGCAGGCTGGAATGGGCATCAATCCTCCCACAGATGTTGAAGTTGTACTTCCCTATATTGACCTGCTTGACTGTGTTCTGGTCATGACAATTAACCCTGGATTTGGTGGTCAAAAGTTCATGGCTGAATGTTTACCAAAGGTCTGTTCCTTCTTAATCCTCTATGCAATTTGGAACTTAATCACCTCTGAAGACTAATATTTATTTGTGACTACACCAACAATTACTTCTGTATAGTTTATATGCGATCACATTAACAGTCACCTTGATATTTATGACATTGCACCAACAATCATTTCTGTAAAATCTACATGTGATTACTATGATTACATGAAAAATCACTTTAACTATATGCTATTCTCTCACTGTATTGTTTACATGCTGTTTTGCCAAGAATCACCCTTGTATTGCTTGTACCTTTTTTCAACAGATTCAGTTCTTGAGGGAGAAATTCATAAATTTGGACATCGGGGTGGATGGTGGAGTTGGTCCCAGTACCATACAGGAATGTGCAGATGTATGTCGACGAAGTCAAATATCAAAATTACTGATCTTAATCTCTTTCAATTTGGTCTTAACTCTTGGAATCTAGGCCAAGTTTCAGCCAACCAACTGTATGATTTTTTTATTCCAAATGTTTTTATCTGCGGAAAATCATTTGCGCATTTCAATGCACCAAAACACCCACACAGATCTTTTGACTTAGGTCATCCAACGTAAAACTGCAGACAAAGAATTACTTACAATGTGAAATATATTACCAACACAGTAAGGCAATCCTTTGTTAACTATACAACATAAAAATCTGACATCATTCCCCCCGATTATGAAATAGCATGGTGAAAAGATATTATCACTCTTGAGTCCTTCTCTAAGGTGGTATTGACATCTTTTTCTACCCATATTCTAGAGAAGGCCTATGAATATATTTATTATATCTGCCTTTAGTGACCTTTTTTTCCCTAGATTTTTCACTCTATCATTTTACCAAAGCCCATCAAAGGCATTTCAACTTATGGAAAAATAAACTTGGATATTGCTCTAAGTCTTTAGTTAATGATAACTTTAACAAATCAGTAAACTTTAGTCAACAAATTTAGGTAATGCACTCAATTTGGATGTCAAATAACCCTGAACTCGTTCACCCGTCCTCACAGTTTGGGGAGTACTCATATTAAACTTGTATTGTTTAAACAATTTTTTTAAAAACTTGTTTCTACTTTTTTTCCCCCTCAATCCTATCAGGCTGGGGCAAACCTGATTGTTTCTGGAAGTGCACTGATTCAACATAAAAACAGAAAACAGTGCATCGCTGACATGAGAAGTATTGTAGACCAAGCGCTACAGAGGAGATAACACAGATAAGACATTTTTAGCTTAGCTGAAAGTTTTTTTTGCCTTCCTAGTATTTAATTGAGCTCACTTTTGTATTATAATTTTGTCAAGTTTCAAAAAGAAAACCATATCCCTCTCACTTCAGGTTAAAGTTACCTTACTTTATGATTTAATACTTCAAACTTTGTAAGGCCCATGTCCCATGCTCATGAGTTTATATTCTGAATATTTTCAAAAGTACATGAGGATCTAGAATTCAAAGATGGCTATTTCTAAAGTGGGTTTGGATTAAAGTGTTAAGGGAAATTATTTAAGATGGTTTGATTTAGAACTCTCCTCTTTGAAACAGTGTCTGAAAAGAAACTGATTCATATTTTGATGAAGACAGATCTATCTTGTTCCGTTTTATTTTAATATGTGAGCTTTTGCTTACAGTACAGGTTAAAGATTTTTTTCTCCAATGTAGATTGACTTTTGTTGGCACTTATGGTATTTATAAATGGGTAACACTGTATTTCATATGATGCCTTTCATGTAGCTGAATGTTAGCTTTAAGTATGTGAATGTTTTAGATTTAAAAACGTATCTCTTGCATCTGTATGAAGAATTCAAAATAAATTCAGTTGGTTGATATTTGCTGGAGGAACATTATCTTTAGTTTAAAGAAAGTCATAATCTTAGAAAATATAAAAAATTTGTTGACAAATAAGATGTTTGATTGATGTGAGTAAATTTGTGTAAACTAATGTGCAATGGTTTATGTAAATTTGTGTAAACTAATGTGCAATGGTTTATGTAAATTTGTGTAAACTAATGTGCAATGGTTTATGTAAATTTGTGTAAACTAATGTGCAATGGTTTATGTAAATTTG